TGATTTCATTTTTTCCAGATCCCCTTTTGTTGCCAGTTCAGTGGGTCCAGGTGGTTGAGTATCAGAGTGTTCCATCTCATTTCCCTTTGGAGTTGCTGTAGGTGATCTGGAAGTCTGGTTTTGAGACTTATTTACATGTTTTCTCATTTCGACTGGGGTGGGGGTCTGTTAGCGCCTGCACGGATTACCTCCTCTGAGCTGAGTGAGGTGGGACAGGGGTCGGGAGCAGCAGTAGGGATGGTGACCCAAAAGCTCCTTCCTGTGGGCTGGGAGCAGCCGGAGGGATGGTGGCTGGGAAACCTCTTCCTCTGGTCCAGGAGCAATGGGATAGTGGCTCAGGAGCCCCTTCCTCTGGGCCAGGAGGAGCGGGACAGAAGGTGGCCCACAAGCCCTTTCCTCTGGGCTGGGCGCAGCGGGAGGGATGGTGACCGGGAAGCTCCTTCCTCTGGACCAGGAGCAGTGGGACGACGGCTCAGAAGCCCCTACCTCTGGGACAGGAACAGTGGGACTCAGTACCTTGGTCTGGTGGTCTGGTGTTCTCTGCGTCTTTGTAGTGTGGAATCAGGTGGCTGCCTATCTGCAGCGGAGTGATTTGGTGTCTTCCGTGCGACTCAGGACCTAGGTAGGGCGTGCACCGACCTGCCTGTCTGCATTGGGCTGATTCGGCGTGTTCCGGCAACTGGGGACCTCGGTAGTGTGTGGGCAGACCTGCCTGTCTGCAGAGGGGTCTAAAGATTAGGCGTCTTCTGCGTGACTCAGGACCTCGGTAGGGCGTGCACAGGCCTGTCTGTCTGCAGAGGGCTGATTCGGCGTGTGTTCCGCGCGACTGGGGACCTCGGTTGGGTGTCTACATAGTCATTTCTTTTGAAATTTCTTATTTTTTTCAAGCTTTATGTAAAAGTGTGTCATTTAATTTCCAAAATCCTTTAGGGTTTTTAAACTACTTTTTTTTTTTTAACTCGGGACCTTCCACTTGAGAAGCAGGCGTAAGAACCACTGAAATAAATCCCTGGCCCCTGGTGGTTATTATTTTCAAAGGGAGGCAGTGGGCTTTAACCATCAGGAGAAAGAGGGTTAATGGGTAATTTAATATTGTTTTCCATTATTGACCTTTCAATTTAATGTAACTCATTAGAGCATTTTGGAATTTCACTATTTACAATGAAGTGAATAAAAAGTACTCATTAGGAAATATAAAATGTCATGAATAAAATACCATTCTAGAATGAGGCCTGATTCCTAAGGATTTCTATTTAAAGGTGAATTACAGTTTTTTTTAACCCTACCTGTAGGGCAAAAGTTGGATTGTTAAAAGAAGTTATGAAGATTTTCGGGTACTTGATAAACATCTTCATCTATGTATTTATGACCGACGCTTCTCCCAACTCTCTGAGCTGCCCCGTTCTGACAACCTGAAGGACAGTCCAGAGGTATGCATTTGGTACTTTGCACATGTAATCACTACATATGAAATAGCAGAAATTTTTGTCTGTACACTAAATAAAAACTTATATTGAACATCTAGGATCATTTTTGGAATTACCTATTTCTCAACAGAAACATTAGTAGGATATTTAGAGTTAAAGTAGGTTTGGTATATAATTTTATAGGAAAGAAAACTCATAGCAGTAATATATAAACAGACAATATATATTAACATACCATTCTTCAGAGAGAATATAAAAACCACGAAAGCCAAACTACAGCATCATGATCAAAAAATAACATCAGGGAATCAAAAATTGTGAAGAGTATTTGAAAATAGAATAAAATTTACAAGGAAGAGAAAATATGGCTTAAAAATCTATATACAAGATGACCACAAAACACAGAAATCTTAAAAACACTGAGTACACAGAATAAGTGAGAAAGATGTAACAGAAGAAAGCTCTGGAAAGTCTGGTTGCTCTCCTGCGAGGGAATTTGACACTATCCATAAAGTGAGAGCGGAGTTTTGAAAAATAATCAGAGATTTAGAAATTAAAATATGATCATTTAAATTAAGTTTAATAGCAAATCTGAATAACTGGACTACATAAAAAATTGATACAGCTAAGGAAAGAATTAATGAGCTTGAAGGTCAAGTCATTTATAAGAGTGTGGCTTCTGAAAGGGAAAAAATGCTAAGAAGTTGTGAGAGAAGAGCAGTTCCTACTCATAGGGATTGTAGGAGCAGAGAGTAGATGAAAGGAAGTAACTAAAGAGTTCACTAGACCTATGGAAATCAATGTTTTCAGATTCAGAGGGTCCCATAGGTGCTATCATATAATGTTATGAAATTGCATATGTTCCTAAATCCATGCAGAGAACAAAACATAGATTTTCTTAAAAGAATTAAGAATTAGACATTAGACTCTTCCTCAGCCAGGATGGACTAGAAAATAGTGCAGGGGTATCTCCGACATGTTGGGGGGTGGTGAAGTAATTTGGACTATCAGTTCCAGAGTAGTTAAGTAGATGGATTGAGTAGAGCCATCATGGATCATGCAGGAGCTGACCCTGCAGCAGAAGTGCAGGAAGGTCTTCTAGCCGCTATTCCTGCTTGCCCAGAAAACCTCTATGTCTCTGTCTTCACTTCCCATTTATGCCCATTTCACTCACTTTATCTCTCAGATTGCCAATTTCAGAAACAGCTGTACCATAGTTGGATCATATGAATGTGGCTGCTGTCCAGCCACATGCACAGAGGATTACAGAGGGACTGGAAGCAAAAGGCTGCAGGGCGACAGTAGAGAGCTAGGTGGAAGAGCCAAGTATGGATCTGTAACAAACATCTTTCTGTGTTTTCAATACAAAAATAGAAACAGAAAGCAATATGATTAGAAGCTATAAAATAGGGGTTCAAAGTTAAAGGCCTCACAAGACAGGCTGAATCATTACATTGGTGCCCATAGGTTCGGTGATCATCTTCTGTAAAAAGTCCTCTGTAACTGTTAAATGCCTAAAGATCTGTAGCTCCCTCACCCCCAGAAACAACCATTTACCCCAGAGTATCTTTTCCAAAGAATTGGTATCCTTCCTGTGAGTCACACTGTGTCCTGCACTTTCTCCACAGTCCGTCACTAAGATGCTCATGGCTTACCTGTCCCGCCTTTCAGCCATTGCTGGCAACAAGATCAACTGTGGGCCTGCCCTTACCTGGATGGAGGTATTCACCTTACGGAGATGTATTTCAAAATTACTCTCTTAAGAAATTCTATATTAGATTGCTGTTGAGTTTCAGGAATCAAAAAACTGGAGTTTATTATCTTCTGGAAGGATAGATATATAATATATGAAATATTTTACCTCAAATCTTTCTTTGATAATTTGGGAAACTAATTTTAACATATTTTATGAGTCTTAATGATACCTGTTGTCTTGGTGTTCATTGTATTAATGTATGGTTTGAGCAAGTTATGTATTTTTTCAGTTGACTTAATAATTAAAAATATTTTTCAGTTATATATGAACAAGTAGTTTTTCTAAAAATATGATTTAAGAATGTCCAAAGTGAAACATTGTCCAGTAAATATGTTAAGTATATATTCTTAATTTGCATATGCAGAAGTTAGGTTGTTCTTTTCTCTCAGTGGAGATTAGGAAGGCGAGAAGGGAGGTAGACAGGATATAGAGCTGTGAGCCAGGCCAGCTGGCACTGGGATCTGGACTTTTTCATCATTGGCCGTGTGATCTTAGAAAAATAATTTAATCACTCAAAAATTACAAAACTTCTTTTTATTTTAGTATCTTTACCTTTAATGATGATAAAGATTAGTATCTTTTATAGTAATTAGGATTATATTAACTCACATATTATTTGCACAGCATGACTTCCATATATTAACTATCCAGTAAATGGTAGTTACAGTTTTCTTTCACTTTTTAGATTGCTCTCTTTAAATTAAACTGAATTGTATTTTGTAGGCATTTAAAGAAACATGTACAAGTCCCATGTGTTTAACCACCTCATAGTACATGTTCTTTTTTACAGATTGATAATAGAGGAAATCACCTTCTGGTTCATGAGGAATCATCCATCAACACTCCTGCTGTTGGTGCTGCTCATGTTATCAAGAGGTACACTGCTCGGGCCCCTGATGAATTGACCTTAGAGGTAAATGACTAAAGAAGGGTATTTGTTCTGTGGCCCCTGTTTCCAGCCTCATCCTGAAGTGTTTTAACTACTTAATTAAAAAAAAAAAAATGAAAAGCACCAGGTTTTTCTGCAGTCCTTTATGTTTTAGTCTAGAATGTTTTGTATTTTTTACTTAAATGATTGTACTCATTCATCCGTGATTGCCTTCAGTGTCTTCCATTTCTTTCAGGAACTCATCCTTGGTCTTTCTTATCTTATTCCATGCTAGTAACAAACTCCAAAAAGCTGGACTGAATGCCATTCAGAATTGTTCCCATGGCTTATCTCTAACAGATCACTTACTGCATTTAATTGTAGTTGTTTTCATGTTTATCTTATAGGGCCTTTTGAAAGGAAGCCTAGCTTTGTGTTTTTAGTGCCTAAAAACAGTGGTATAGTAATAGTATTTTTTAAAATGCCTGTTGAAAAATTGAATTAAAGAACAAAATAAAGGTAAAAATGAATATTTCTTGCTATCATGTGCAAAAGGAGGAGAAATAATGCTTTTAAGTTTTTTCCTTTAAAAACATATTTGCTGATGATAGACAAAATAAATGCAAACTTAAATGCTTTAAGAATAAACATTGTAAGCTAGTAAGGTGGTATATGCCTATAATCTTGGCAGTTTGGTAAACTGAGGCAGGAAGATCACAGGCTTGAGGCCAGGCTGGGCAACTTAGTGACTTAGTGAGACCTGTCTCAAAATAAATTTTAAAAAGAGCTGGGGATATAGCTTAGTGTAAAAAGCCCTGGCTCAGTACCCAGTAAAATACACACACACACACACACACACACACACACACACACACAGAAGGAAAGAAAGAACAATGGAGACGACTGTGTATTATCTGAACTGTTCTTAAACTATTAGGTTCTGTGCAGAAGGAAACACAGATCTCAAAAGATGCTGTGTCTGTGAGTAAATATGACTATGTGAAAGTGGCTCGTTCATGACTAGAGAAACCAGTGTGGCTATAAAGAGTACTAAAAATGTTCTACATGTTAAGTGTTTAACTCTGTTTTATTGTGGATATTAGCATGATTGAAAAATATAACATCTATTAAATGTATTATTTAAAACTTAACTATTATGCATATTTTGTTCACATTTATATAAACTCACTGTTTCACCTTTTACGATGAAGAAAGTTAGCTCTTTATAAGTGTCATATTGTACCATCTTCTGAAAGAAGTGACATTGTCATAACATTTTACATTAAGAACAACCCATTTTCATACTTTTCCTCTGTGATTAAATAAGACATGTCAGATACTTGATATGCTATTTAAAATTGTCCCAAATAAGAAATCTGATCAGCTTCAGTACCCACAGTATAGAATCTCCTCAACTTGCAATGGGGTTCATCCAGTAAACCTACTGAATATCCCAGCCTCGCAGCACAGTGCACTGCAGAGCATCAGTTGTTTGCCCTAATGATCGGACAGAGGACTAGAAGCAGTGGACCACTGCTGCTGCCCAGCATCACAGAAGAGCTATCATACAACATCCCTAGCCCGAGGCAAGAACAAAATATCAAATTTGAATACACTTCACTTTTGCATCATACTTATGTCGAATCATCCTAAGTTGGAGACTATTTTAACGGAAGTAATGATGATGGTATAAAATTGAGCATTAAAAAAACTTTACACGAAGATCTGTTATTGTGATGTTACTACATAAATGTTAGCTGGATTACAGTTTTGTGCTACTTAACTTTTTGTAGAACTTTAACAAAAGGTAAAATTACTAAATTATTTTAAGGAGAGGTAGTATGATTTTCAGAAATTATTGTCCAGAATATAAAATAGCGCTTTATCTTCTTGTACAGTTCAGATTTAAATTTTAACTAAACAGTTTTACTTAAAACTCTGATTCTCCTAGGTGGGAGACATTGTTTCTGTTATTGACATGCCCCCCAAAGTGCTAAGTACATGGTGGAGAGGCAAGCATGGATTTCAGGTAAGCAACAAAATTATATGTGGAAAGGTTCAAATATTAGTTCTCTCTATGCTTTACTAATATTTCTGTTTACAAGATGTACTGTCAGTGGACATGTCATCGGACATTTTGTCTGCTCTGATAGAAAAATGTAGAGGGTAATGGTGTTAGACTTGGGTTTTCTTGTCTATCTGGTATTGTCAAGGTTTTTATTTCTCCCCTTCTTCAATTTTAAATGGTGAGATAGCCAAAGTGTGAGCAGGCTCAGACCTGAGGACCTTTTTGAGATGATCAGGCATCTGAACCTGCTTTACTTTTGAATCTATTGGCTTAACTCATGATTTGCATGTATTTTCTCCTTGAAATAAATTGGTTTGATTAATATTTTTCTGTAACAATGCTTTGTGACTGTTATTGGAATCTTAGTGAATTAGTTGCAAAATCTAAGCCACCTCATTTATTTTTTCCATCTATATCTAAACAATTTGAGATCTAACAGTGGCATCTTTTAAATTGACTTAGCATTAATTTTAATAGTATAGATAGGTTTTCTTTTTCCTTTTAAAACTGTCCAGAGAAGATCCTCTGAAAAATGCCTTAAAATTATATTTTTAATCTATAGCCTGTTTTTTTAGTTTTCTTATAAAAGTACTTCTAAAATGCCATGTAACTAAAGTGCTTATACTATATACTTAGAAATTTGATAACTATTATATCTTTACCTTTGTATGTCAAAATTTGTTAACTGCCTTTTGCATATTTAAAAATTCTAATTCTTAGCTTTTTATATAATACTGGTGTATTTTATTTAAAACTATTAATCCAGTATAAAATAGTATAGCATGATAGTTAATTGTGGACTCTGGTTCCAGAATACCTGGGCATTAGTCCTGTATTACCTGGAACAAATTATTTAACTCTCTTATGTTTCAGTTCCCGCATTTTAAAAATGGGGATTGCAGAACTATATTTTACTTCATAGACTTGTCATGAAACTTAAATGTGTGAAATAAAAATGAAAAGTACATAGAGCAGGCATGTTGTGTATTTTTTTCCTCAATAAATTTTTTTTCAAAATTTAAATAATTCTCTTTTTATTTTAAAAATTAATTTATCCCTTTCTCTAGTATAAGTTTATATATAGAATTTACTTTTGCGGTGAAGACCAGAAAAATCATATCCATGTGGCTCCGTGTCTTTTCATGATTGCATAATTGGGGTCTTCTTTCATCTGTTCTCTGATTTCTTAACAGATCTGAATAATAGATGCTCTTGATTAAATATGAAACTAAGTAGAAGACTGGGATTTTCTTCATTGTAATAAGGAATTAATTCTTTATTGATGGAAATGAACTGTAGACTTCAGCATCTCACAAATGATCAAAAATTAAATTTGGTTTTAAAATGGCACTTATTTTTTGGTCTTCATATTGCTACCAGCTTTCTTATATGTAACCTTAGAAAGGCCATTTTCTTTCTTTGAACTTATTTTTTCTTGAATCAAAAGGCTCCATTTATAATCTCTCTATTCCTTTTAATTGTTTTAATTTTATGATTTTAAAAATAGTAACAAGTTTTTCCTTCCTTTGTGTAGCAAATGTTTATTGAGTAGTGACTCTGTCTTGGGATAGATTATCTAATTATTTTATTTAGACTCACAAATTAGTGTTGCCTAAACAAACTTTTTAAAGTCAGTACGAATTAGTCTAAAACTAGTTAGCTTGTTGCCAAACATTTAGAATAAAAACAAGTTATTTAAACTCAAGGAGATTTGTAATTGATTACAAAAACTTGTTCCTCTGGTAATGTTCTTTTTCCCCCTGATTTTTCTCAGAAAGGCAGCCTTATCCACACATCTGTTGGGATGTGCCTGTGAGAAGTGCAGTCCCTGTAGGGAAGCCCATAAAACTAGGAGAACGACTTTAAATTGCACTGTCAAAACAGTTCAAAAATGGAGTCCAGTATTTAAGGATAGCATCCAGTGTTTGAGCAAAGTTCTTGTTCTTTGCTGTTCCTATACACTAGACCATGTGTGAGAGCACCCTGGTTAATTGCAGGGTGAGGTGGAGTGGGGGGACGTAACTTTTATGTGCAAAGTACTGCTCTGCATTCCATACGCACTGTTGAATTTCAGAAAACTTCCAAGTAGTTCCTGTCTCTCATCATTATGGAGAGAGGAACAGTTTTTGAGATGTTTAATGAGCATCTAGGCTGTTTAGTGATGGATGGAGCAGGCACTCAGTTCCATGTCTGCTCTGTTCACTGTCTGAGGAGCACTAGGTATGATTCCTGGGTGCACTCTCAGAGTACTCTCTCCAGCTCAGTTTTCTCCTGTTGAAAGGAACTTCTTTTCTTCCCAACCAGCAGGGGATGTAGTAAAGGTTGGCTATCTCAGGCTACTAAGCATACTTGCTTATTGGTAGAAACATTGCTGTCACTGTTAGGTTTTAATATAATGATCAGTAAACTCCATGAAAGCTCTTCCTTGGGCTGCTCATGTTTTCTACCCTGGCTAGGTATTTCTAAATTCTGAGCATGTATCCCTCCTGAAATATTCTGTTGAGAGAGGGAATCTCAATTATTTCTTATATACTAAGGAGATCTCAGTTATTCTTGTATAGGATGTCTCTAAATCAGAGCCTTTTTATGTCCTGATTTTGAAGTTTAAAATAACTGGAATAATACTAAGGTGAGAGAAAGTGTACTTTGTTAGTTAGGATTCTTAAAGGGAACAGAATCAATAGGAATATTTACACAAGGTGATTTATTAAGTAAGTTACAGGGTCAGAGTTGGAAGAGGCCACAGTGGCCACCTGTCGGATCAGAGGAGGGAGAATCCATAGTATGTGGGATCACATACAGAGGCAATGGCAAAGACTGGAGCTCTTCCAAAATGAAAACATTTCTTTTTTCTTTTCCTTTTCATTCGGTACAGGCAACAAGCCTATTGGTTTTCTGCCACCCACCATATTTGCCACCCATAAGAAGGGGTGAATCTTCTTCCCTCAGTTAGCTGGCCTACATATCAGTCATCCACAGATACACTAAGAACTGTGTTTTACTAATCTGTGAGGCATTTCTTAATCCATTCAAGTTAACATATCATGATTAATGGTCACTGAAGGTGACAGAGCTGCCCTGATTAGTTCAGGACAGGCATGCCTAATCAGTCTCCCATAGGCCTCTTGCCACAATCTGGAGGAGCTTTACCAGAGCCGATAGCCTCTACTCTAAGTTACCACTGGGTGTTATTTTATGTAGTAGATTTGTTACATCCAAAGCTACTTAACCCATTTCCCACTTAGGAAGAAGAAATGCAGATTTTTCCTGAGCTCCATTTTCAGGGGAAATGAGAAATGGATTTAAAGTATTAGAGAAAATATTATTTATAAAGGTATTTTTATGTGATCCCATTTATAAGGGCCAAAGTCACATTTAAAATTATTTTCACATATATTATATCTGAATTATTTGTATTTCATATATTCTGATGTAGGTGGGTGATACAAATTCAGAATGCAAACAGTAATACATATTTGCATGTGTTTATGTTTGTATGTGTGTCTGTGTCTGTGATTTTATTTTTTGCTATTATTGGCTATTTATAAGTTTCTTTCATTCCTTCTTTTTCTGTTAGGTGCTATGTTAGTTTGCTCAGGCTACTATAACAAAATACCAGAGATTGGGAGACTTAAACAACAGAAATTTATTTTCTCCCAGTTTTAGAATTTAGAAGACCAATATGAAATGTTGTCAGGGTTGCAGTCTTCTTCTCACTGTGTCCTCACATGGCGTTTCCTCCATGTGTGTGGGTGTCTCTGTCCCGTTTTCTTACAAAGACACCAGTCAGATTGAATTAGGGCCTACCCCTATGATTTTATGTAACCTTAACCACTTCATTAAAAGCCTTACCTCTAAATGTAGCTGCATTCTGAGGTAGTAAGTGTTAGGAATTCATATGAGTTTTTGGGTGAATATATTTTATCCCGTCACAGGTGCTAAGCAGTCCAGGATAGAGAAGGGGATTGGGCCTCCTTTAGGACTGGCCTAAAGGCCCTGGGGAACTCTCACAGAAAATTGATAAGGAGCACAGCTGTCTCTGAGCCAGGTTAGTCCTCCAGGTCAAGAGCAGGAACATCTTGCATGTGTGGGCCAACTGCCTGCAAAATCTGCCACCCAACTGATTGCCAGGGTTGAATGAACTCATCTGGCTGGCTAGGCAGGTGACTGCTTCCTTCCTCACTCGTCCATGTGCATCCCTCCCAAAATTGCATATCCATTTGGTTGGAGGGGACAACCTTTCCTGATAGAGGGGAAATTTTCAGAAGAACTGCACGGTGGGTTCCTTGGCCCCGTCTTTGGTTAGCACCTGAGAAGGGCCCACTGCAGGCTCTCAGGCTGACATCACGTCTGCATTTCATATGTGGTAGAGGACCTTCTGGCACTGGGTGCTGTGTTCCAAGGTAGGACAGGGAGAACAGTGGGCCTTAGTACTCTTCTCAGGGTCTCTCTGGTCAACAGGGAGGTTCAGAGCCCAGCTGGAGTTTGTTGAAGGATGGCTAGAGGAATGCAGCTTGTGTGTATCTTCCAGGGAGAGGCTCTCCAGGTGACCCCCGGTGCCTCTGTCAGAGGAAGCAGGCAGATTGGCCCGGCATGGAGCAGCATGCTTTATTGGCCAGCTCCACTGGCTCTGTTCACATGCCTACTGTGTAAAATGGCTGTCTGGGTACCACAGAGGTGGAAGCACAACCACAGCAGTCTGTGTTCCCTAGTGGTGGAGAAGACACCAGGGGCTCTTCTTGGTGTTGGGGTAGCCAGTACAGTTGTCTTTCTGGGGATTGAGATCATCTTGTGTTAATAACCCAGGAAAAGGGGAGAAGGGAGAGCCAGGATGTGGGCTCTGCTTTTGTCTTAGTTACTTTTCTCATCTCTGAGACAAAATACCCAACACCCACAAGTTAAAAGAGGAAAGGTTTATTTCAGTTGACAGTTTGTAGAGGTTTAAGTCCACAGTCAGCTGG